CTAATAAGATTACTGACATTTAGAAATGGGAAAAAAGGAGCTAAAGGTGTAGGGAAGGTGGGATGGGTAGGGGAAGAGTAAAAAGGGAAAAGAAAAAAATGTGAGAGAATGAAAAGATGAAAATAAAGTGTTTGTAGATGGGGAGGGGAGGAGGGGGTGAGGGGAGGGCAGAGGTAAGGGGAAAAAATGAGAATCAAGACTTCTCATGTAGAGATACAAGATCCCAACAATGAATGTAACTGTACTGTATCCCTAAAATGTACCAATAAACTCAATTAAAGCTGAAAAAAAGGGGAGTATGACAAAAAATAGAAAGAACCCTAGGAGAAACAAGGATGAAAATGTCATCAAAAGAATCACTGAAGAGAACAATGTACACCCTGCTTAGGTTACCTCTTGTGACTTAAACCAACACACACGGACAAGTTGTGAATTTACTTGCTTCTTTTGTTTTTTTGGGTTTTTTTGTTTTTTTTTTTTTTTTTTTTTTTTTGGTACTGAGGATCGAACTTGGGACCTTGTACTTGCAAGGCAGGCAGAACCACTGCGCTAAATCCCTTGCTCTACTTGCGTTTTCATACATGTATTTCTAAAATATGAACAAAACTCTTCACATCAAAAATAAAACTGTAACTCCCCACCGATATACAGGCACTTTTTTGTGTGTGTGCAGCTGGGGACCAAATCCAGGGCCTTGCACATGCTGGGTAAGTGCTGTCTGACTGAGGTAGTCCCTAGCCTGGAAATTGTATTTAATGGCATTTCTTCCCAAGCTTGTACTTTTTGATGATAACCTAATTATATATTTAAAAAAACTCTAGAAAATCTAATTTTTCTTTTATAATTGTGTGGGATTATTACGTTATTGTTAGAGAAATCCTGATGTCCTGAGAGAGTTTGTATGGAGAAAAGGCCATGTGCTTGACTTCTCTGGCTTCTTGTGACCTCCTATAATTTGGTGGAGCTCCTGGGAGTTCTCCTGAAGCTAAATCCTCTAGAACTTGTCATCTTTCTTAGTGGCGATTTAAAATTTGTCAGTCATTCAGGGCTGGGCTGGCAGAGACATATTTCAAACAGAAAACACAAACACATATTAAACCAAAAAGATTATTAAAATTACAGTGTTGCAGAGAAATTGGGAAAGAACTTTAAAATTAATTCGTGCAATGGGTTCATTCTCTTAAGTGCGTAAACAATTCAGTGTGGTTAAATGTTTTCATAGTAATATATTCAATAAACAAGAACCAGGTGTCATGTCCTCCTAAATTTCACTCCAGTAGTGTTCTTCTATAATGCTGTACTTGTACATAGTAAGACACAGTCATGAAAATGTTAGAATTATTTATATTTGATAGGGTCATTCTAATCCATTCAGAAGACCCCCATTCTTTATTCAAGTTTATTCCTTCAGTTCTTATTTTGTTTAAAATAAAAATTAATATTTCTTTCCTAAAAGACCATTTTCTCTTTTTCAATGGATAATGGTCCTCTCTTATTTTTTCAAACTTCTGGTCAGTCTTGGAAGACTTCTAGTTTAGGACTCAGAGCTGCCAGCTTTTTTGGATGATCATTGTTAATGACCAGAGTATTTATTTGTCTGAACTTTGTCCATTGGTTTAAGCACTGGCTGGGACATTCAGGAGAAAGAACTGCACCAGAATATGAGGGGTCAAGGCTTAAGAATTTTTCTCCTCTGGGTTTAAAATAGAATCAGATATTCAAATAGGATGGGAATAGCTGAGAACAGATGTCTGTTTTATCCAGTTGAAAATGAAATTTACATTTGAAGAGTACAAAAATACAGAAACCTGCAAAAAATCTTCACAGTAAGAAAATAGATTGAAAATATCAGAAGGGTGCCCATATGGAATTAATTGCAAAAGAAAGTACAATTAGATGATTGGAATTTCAATATAGGATATCGATACTATGGATTAAAAGGACAAAATATCTCAGGAAGGATGAATTCTTGACACAGTATTTTATGGAAGGGCAGAAATTTAAGGGGACCTGAGAAGGAGAGAAGAATAAAAGTGATGATGAAAGGGACAGTTTTGTAATTTAAAAACCTCTCTCTTACCTGTTAGGTAATAGTAGGCTCATTTTTAGAAGAAATTCAGTTGCTTAGTCTTCATTTATGTAATAACAACATGAACACAGATGTAAAATTTTTTATAATGGGAGAAAGCTAATTACCTGCATAGAAGAGTGATGTAGTTATTACTACTTTCTCTTGGAACCTAGATCTTTGAGTCACATTGGGTTCCATAAGAGACAAGCATCAAGAGAATTGCCTGACTATGGAAAATAGAAGAGGGAGGATTTTGAGGTCATATGTTGGCTAGCATAAAATAATTCCCACTTAATCTTAAGGTATGCATTGATTGGAATAACATAGATGAGGATTTGAAAATATATCCAGGTGTACAGATGTATCTTCATTTCTGTTAGTATAAATGGACATTTAGGAAATAAAACTAAGATCCTTGATGTGTGAAGACAATGCCTACAGTTGATGAGAGAAGGAATAAACAGATATTTTTCCTGTTATCAAATATAGCAAATGTTTGCTTCCGGATGCTTACACATGCTTAAAACTTTAGGGTGCTGAGGATGAAGGTCTGTTGAAAAGCTTTGACCATTCTCCTTTTGAGTTAACTGATTACACATAAAACTTGTGTTATTGGATACATTTGTTCAGAGACTTTAAGTATAGTTACCTGTGAGGAGATTATTGTTTCAAAGGACCTATGTCAATCTATTGAGAAAACCACTGTGGATCTTCTTGGAGATACTAGGATTAATCATTGATGTACAGTTAGAAAGAACCTAACCTCTAGGTTTTCATGAGACCTGGAAGTGTCAAAGCTCTGTCTTTGTTTAAAATTGCTTTTCTTTAGATTTTAATTTATTTAGAGTTGTATTTAAAAATAAAGATTAAGCAAAGAAAAAAAAAGGGCCAGGAATTTAGCTCAGTGGTTCTGCCACCAGCTTCACAAGCACAAGGTCCTGAGTTCAATCTCCAGTTAAAAAAAAAAAGCATAGAGCTTTATTTCATTTTCTCTTTTACAGGAATTAGAAAAATAAGTTGGAAACTGGATAAAGAAGATGTGGTTTTGTATAAAATGGAATATTACTCAGCCATAAAAAATGAGAAAATAGATTCATTCATAGGAAAATAGATACATATTGAAGATATATTCCTAAGTGAAATAAATAAGTCACACATGTGTAAATACTAATAAAGTATTCTCTAAATAATTTTAAAAAAGAATAAGATAAGACTACAAGAGCAAGAAACAATTTAAATATGTTAAGGGACCATTTTCATCTTCAGAATTAAGGATTATTTTAATCTTACATCATTGCCTTTTCTCTTTTACTTTCCTTTTTTGTTTTATTTTAGGATTCCCTATTTTTAATGTTCATACAGAGATTTCTTTAACTGAAATACCAAATGGTTTCTCTGGTGTGAAAACCATAATAGTACACAGGATCCTAATGAGAAAATTAATAATGTGAAATAGTAAGTAAAGGGCTGAAGGTGTAGGGAAATTGGGAAGGGTGGGGAAAAGGTAATAAGGGAGAGGAAAAAATATGAAAAATTGAAAAAATGGAAATAAAGTGTTTGTAAATGGGGAAGGGAGGAGGGGGTGAAGGGAGGGCAGGAACAAGGGGAAAAAATGAGAATCAAGACCTATTATGTAAAGGTACAGGATCCCAATAATGAATCTAACTGTATGGCATTCCTAGATTGTACCAATAAACTCAATATAAAGAAAAGAAAAAAAAGAAAGACTTGTTAGTTAATTTTTCCACAAGGAAGGATCATTCATGTTTGGATTTTAGGAAAATCTTTACAATGCTCTTCTTGATTAGTAAATGTTAAATTTCCAGCATTATATTAAAACTAAATCTGTATAGGGGAGAATGGAATAATATATAAAATAATAGTATAGTAATGCATAAATAGTAGATCAAAATTAAATTCCCTGAATTTGTACATATTTTATAAGATCAGTGTATTAGCAATTTGAGGTACCTAGAATCATGTTTCTGGGCATTAAGTATTTCCCTGGTAACCCATGTAAATGTTTCTCAATCTTTTTATAGCATTTTTCATCTCTTTATTTCTCAGTGTATAAATGGCTGGATTTAGGAGAGGAGTAAAAACAGAGTAAAAGACAGCAAGAAATTTGTCCAGCCAGGTGATGTTTAGTGGGCACACATAGATGAAGATGCAGGGCACGAAGAAGATCACCACCACCGTGATGTGGGCAGTGCAGGTGGACAGTGCCTTGGAAGCACCTGTTTTGGAGCTTTGGCAGACAGTGAGAAGAATGTATGTGTAGGAGATCAGCAACACAACAAAGCAGGTTACACATACATATGAATAAATGTAATACACTATATTAACAGAATCAAGGACAAAACCCATATGATCATCTCAATAGATACAGAAAAAGCATTTGACAAAAGTCAACACTCAACTCATGATAAAAGCCCTGCAGAAAGTTAGAATAGATAGACTTTATCTCAACATGATAAAGGATTTCTATGAAAAATCAACAGCCAACATCATATTAAATGGACAAAAACTGAAAACCTTCATATTAAAATCGGGAATAAGACAGCAATGCCCACTATCACCACTCCTTTTCAATATAGCTCTAAAAACGTTAGTTGTATCAAGTAAACAAGAGAAAGAAATTAAAGGAATAAAGATAGGAAAGGAAGAAGTAAAACTGTCATCATTTGCTGATGATGTGATACTATACATGGAAAATCCAAAAAACTCTACCAAAAGACTTCTAGATTTAATCAACACTTTCAGCAGAATAGCTACATACTAGGTCAACACTCAACATTTCTCAATAGGCTTCTTGTACTCAAATAACAAGACTTCTAAAAGGGAAATTAGGGAAACAATTCCTTTCACGATAGCATCCAAAAAATGAAGTATCTAGGAAACAACCTAATGAAGGAAGCAAAAGACATCTACACTGAAAATACAGCACTCTTAAATAAGAGATCAAAGAGGATATAAGAAAATGGAAAGATATCCGCTTCCCCTGGGTAGTAAGAATAAATATACGGAAAATGGCCATACCAAAACTGTATACCAAAACTGCTATACAGATTCAATGCAATCCCAACTCACATTACAACAATATATTTCACAGAACTAGAGAAAATAATTGAAAAATTCATTTGGAACCAGAAGAGACCTAGAATAGCAAAATCAATTCTAGGCAACGGAGACATGGCAGGAGGTATCACAATTCCCAACTTGGAACTACATTATAAAGCCACTGTGATAAAAACAGCATGGTACTGGCAAAGAAAAAGACCCATGGATCAGTGGAATAGATTATAAAATATAGATACAACTCCAGATGTATTCAACCACGTCATCTTTGACAAAGGATCCAACCATCCTCAGTGGAGGAAAGATAGCCTCTTTAATAAATGGTGCTGGAAAAACTGGATTTAAACCTGCCAAAGATTAAAACTAGACCTTTATCTTTCACCATGCACTAAACTGAAGTCTAAGTGGATTGAAGATCTAAATATTAAAAAGAAACACTAAACTTGCTGGAAGATAAGTTAGGCAGAACTCTCAAAGACAATAACATAGGAAAAGACTTTATGAACAAATCCTCAGTAGCTTGGGAACTGCCAAAAAGTATCAACAACTGGGATCTTGTCTCATTTAAAAGCTTCTGCACTGAAAAAGAAACTCCCAACAGAGCTAAGAGGTTATGTGGGAAAAAATTTTTATCAGGTGCTCTTCAAACAAATGACTATTATCGAGAATCTATAAAGAACTAAAAAAAAAATTAGACCCCACCAAATATAAAGACCCAATACAAAAATGGGCATCTGAAATGAACAGACTTTTCTCAGGGAAAGAAGTAAAAGCAAATAAATATAGGAAAAAATTTTCACAATCACTGGTCATCTGAGAGATGCAAATGAAAACACTGAGATTCCACCTCACGGGAGAAAGAATGGCTGCTATCAAGAAATCAACCAATAACAAATGTTGGCAGGGCTGTAGGGAGAAAGGAACCCTTTTCCGTTGTTGGTGGGAGTGAAGACTGGTGCAACCATTGTGGAAATCAATATGCAGATACCTCAAACAACTAGGACTACAGGTTCCATTTGACCCAGCTAACCCTCTGTGGAATATTTTTTCAGAAGAATTAAAAGAATCATACCAGAGTAAGATATGCACACCCATGTTTAGAGCTAAATCTTGGATACAGCTAAATTGCCCATCAGCTGGAGACTAGATAAAGAAGATGTGGTTCTACCTTTTTTTTCTTCATTGAGTTTATTGGTACATTTTAGGTATACAGTACAGTTACATTCATTATTGTGATATTGTACCCTTACATGACATGTCTTGGTTCTCATTTTTTCACCTTGTCCCTGCCCTTCCTACACCTCCTCCTCCCCTCCCCCTTTACAAACACTTCATTTCCATTTTTCATTTTCTCATAGTTTTTTCTAAACTCAATGAGGAAAAAAAAGACAAAATTTTACACAATGACATCTTTTCAATGTATCAACCTTGGCTTTCTTAGATGTACAAATTTTCACCTTTCCCTAGAGCTTCATGTTAACCTTTACCTGTGTTAGTGTATTATTCTTGCATTTATGTTCACCTTATCACATCACTTGCCATTTATTATATTTATTAGTTATTCTAACACCTTGACTAGAACAAAGCTTCACAGTGATAAGCATTACTTTTTATCTTGTAATATATCCCACATGTACCCAAGAGCATGAGGTACTTGATAGTGATTGCATAAGTTAAAAAACGAGGCACACAGGCAAATAAAAGATAACTTTGGGGTTTCTCATTTCCATAATAAAATAGATGATCATAGAAGATAATAATATTTTTGTTGGTAATCATGAGCATTTTTCCATTTTCATTGTTATTAACACATTTTGATTGTACAAATTAATGGGATTCACCGTGAAATTTTTCTCATGTATACATCATGCATTGATCATGTCCATCCACCCTCATTCCACTCTTGTCCTCCACCTCTTCACCTCCAACATCCTTCCCAGTTGCTAGTAATCCCTCTTCTACTTTCAGGTCAAAGTTGCTCTCCTAAGAGTTTCCACATAGGAAAGAAAACATTCAATACTTGCCTTTGTGTCTGGTTTATTTCATTTAACATGTTTTATCAGAAATGTCCATTTTTATGAAAAAGGAGGATTCCATTCTTCTTTATGATTAACACTTTGGTATGTATACATTTTATTTATCCATGCATCTGTTAACAAGAACCTAGGCTGATTTCATATTTTAGCTCTTGTAAATGTTGCCACAGTAAGCATGGGCATCTCTTTTGTATATTGGTGGTCTCTCACTGTGCTTTTGATCTACATTGCCATGTTTGCTAATAACATTGAGCATTTTTCAAATATTTACTTTTCCTGGATTAAGGTTAATGTTATACATGTTTGTTTTTGTTTAGTTTTTGGTCTTGTGGCTATTGTCATTGGGACTGCTTTCATTTTTCTAACTCACCAAGAACATTATGGCTGTATAGAAAAGTTACTAGTTTTTGCATGTTGGTTTTTTATTTTGCTCCTTTGCTGTAGTCACTGAGTACTCTAACAGTCTTTTGCTGAAGTGTTTGGGTTTTCTAGTAATGGAGTCATATCCTCTGTTAACAAGAATAATCTGACTTTCTGCTTTACTATTTATATTCCCTTTGTCTCTTCTTCTTGCCTAATTGCACTGACTAATATATCTCGTATACTAAATAAAAGTACTATACTTAATATATTGAATAAAAGCAATGAAAGTAGATTCACGTGATTTGTTCCTGATATTAAAGTAATTTTTCTCACTCAGTATAATATTGGCTGTGAGTTTGTCATACACAGTCAAGATTGCATTAAGGTGTAACCCTTCTGCACTAGCTTTTTCAGGATTTTTATTACAAAGTGATGTTTTATCACAAGCTTTTTCTGGACCATTGAAATGATGGGTGATTTTTCTCTTTTACTCTGTGAGAGTGCTCTACTAACTTCACTGATTTTATGATTTGGACCTTCCTTGTATTCCTGGAATGAAGCCAACTTTATCATGATAGATGATTTTTTAATGCTTTATTGAATTTGATATATTAGTGTCTTGTTGAGGATTTTTGCATTTGTTTTGCATCTATGATTCAATCATATTACTCACTATTGGTCTATTGAGATATTTACATCTTTTCTCTTCACTTTTGATAGGTCATATGCGTCCAGAAATTTGTCCACATTTTCTAGATTTTCTACTTTGTGAGCATGTGGTTTTCCAAAACAATCTCTAATGATCCTTTGCACATCTATGGTGTCTTTGTAATGTCTTCTTTTTCATCTCTCCTTCTGTTTGCGTCTTCTTTCTTTTTTCTTGGGTAGCCTAACTAAAAGTTTGTCAGCTTTGCTTCTCTTTTTCCAAAAGTCAGCTCTGTGTTTAAACCATTATTTGTATTTTTTAAACTTTATTTCTGCTCTGATAGTCATTGTTTCTCTTCTGTTAATTTTGAGTTTGATGTGTTCTTACTTTTGTCAATCTTTAAGATGCATCATTAGGTTGTGTTTCTAAAATTTGTTTTTCCGATGAAGGTGTTCAATACTATATGCTTCCCTCTTAATACTGCTTGGGCTGCACCCTACAGATTTTAGTTGTGTTCTGTTTTCATGGTTTCAAGAAGTTTTTACATTTCCCTTCTGACTTCCTCAGTGCTCCTCCATGCTGTATTTGTTACTAAAGGTCTTCAGTGTGTCTTGAAACTAGATATGATGATGCCTCCCTCATACTTTGCTCTTTTGGCTCAGCATCGCTTTAATTACTTGGCAGCTGTTGTGCTTCCATGTTAATTTTAAGATTGTTTTTCTTGCTTCTGTGTTTTGAATATTTGTTTTCTTTCTCCCTCTTGTTCATCTTTGTGGTTTTATGGTGTTATGGATTGGACTTGAAATTTCCCTCTAAAGTCTCATGGATCTGAAAGATCGTTAGACTATGGTGTACTATACAGATCCAGGGATTAGTGCCCTGAGGGGTCCGTTGCTGACTTGCATTTAGGAAGTAGAGCCTGGTCAGAGGAGGTAAGTCACTGGGGGTGTGACTTGGTCTCTTCCTTTCTCTCTCTGCTTTCTGGCCTCTGTGATATGAGCAGCTTTCCTAAGCCAGACCTTTCCATCATGCTGTTCCTTCCTTGCAGCCAACTAACCTGTTGGAACTGGTTGAGATTTGTGAAATTTTGAGTCAGAATAAACCTCTCCTTCTTTAAATTGAGGCTGTTGGTTATTTTTTCCCAGTGAGCAAGAAAGTGACTAAGATGGTATACTGTATTCATAATGGTCAGTT